TGTAGAACTGGCGAGTCTTGCCCTGTCCTACCAAATCAACCAAATACTGAGCAGCAGGATCCTTGATGAGTAGATCCCGTATTTGGTCCTTGATGGATGTGGCTACTTCGCTCCCCCTTAGGGTGGCGAGTAGGCACACCGATGCTAGATCAGCTCTCCGACTGAGCGCATCAGCAACATGATTGGTCTTTCCACTGCGATACTCCAAGTTGAAGTGGAATTCAGCTAGGAGTTCCTGCCACCTGGCCTGTCGACCGTTCAGCTTCGGCTGGGTCATGAAATGGCTAACAGCTGTGTTGTCTGTCTTGACCACGAACGGGGTTCCCAGCAGATAGTGCCTCCAGAGGCGCAAGCAGTGGACGACAGCCAATAATTCTTTCTCATGGGCGGCATAGCGCCGCTCTGCATCCTTCAGCTTCCGACTCTCGTACGCTACAGGGTGCCCTTCTTGTAGCAGGACTCCGCCGAGTGCATAGTCAGAAGCATCTGTTTGTACCTCGAACGGCTTGGCCAAATCAGGAAGGGCCAAGACGGGACTACTAGACATAGCCGCTTTTAATGCGTTGAAGGCCTCTGCTCTCCTTGGTCCCCAATCCCAAGGTGTGACCTTTTTGAGGAGTTCTGTCAATGGCACTGCGATAAGTGAGTAGTTCTTCACAAACCGCCGGTAGAAGTTGCATAGGCCAAGGAACGCCCTCAAGGCGTGGACATCCTTAGGTGTCGGCCAATCTGTGATGGCCTGGATTTTCTGTTGGTCCATCTTGATGCGTCCTTCCTCGATGACATGTCCGAGGAAATCAATTTGCTTCTGAGCAAAGGAGCACTTGGATAACTTTGCATATAGTTCATGTTCCCGCAACCGAGCTAGGACCTTCCGCAAGTGTACTAGGTGTTCTTCCAATGTCTGGCTATATACCACAATGTCATCTAAGTAGACCACCACAAATTCGTCGATGTACTCTCGGAAGACTTGGTTCATGAGAGTGCAAAACGTAGCAGGGGCGTTGGTCAAGCCGAATGGCATGACCAGGAAGTCGTACGACCCATATCTTGTCACACAAGTCGTCTTGTGTTCATCACCCTCTGCAATCCGAACTTGCCAATAACCTGTCTTCAGATCTATCTTGGTGAACACCGTAGCACCACCCAGTCTATCAAACAAGTCCGCCATTAGGGGAATAGGGTACTTGTTCTTCACGGTGATTTTGTTTAGAGCTCGATAATCCACACAGAGTCGCAGGCTGCCATCATGTTTCTTTTGGAATAGAACAGGGGACCCATATGGGGACTTGGAGGGTACAATGATCCCTGTATCAAGCATTTCCGTCAATTGTCTCCGAAGCTCGGTGAGTTCGGGTTGTGACATTCTGTAAGGCGCCCGGGCAGGTGGCTTCGCGCCCGGCACCAACTCAATTTCATGGTCCACAGTGCGCCTAGGCGGGAGCCGCTTTGGCATGTCTTGTGGCATGACATCTTCAAACTCCAGTAGTAACTCCTTCACGGGTTCAGGAATGGGACCCGAGGAGCGTTCTATATCTTCAATGCAGAGGGTTGCCAGGAACGTAGGTTCATTCCTTTTGACCCCCTTCTTCAACTGCAAGGCCGAGATGTTCTCAACGGCCATCTTCATGGGCAGGCACGGGATAATGCAGGGCTTGGCCCTATTGGTACCCATCATCAGTAGCATGTCTGCAAATGGTACAGGCATGGTGTTGGTTTGCCTTAGGAATTCCAGCCCAACAATCAACTCGAAGTCATCTATGATCACCACTCGCAGGTTGAATTTTCCTTCGTAAGGCCCAAGCTTCACCGGTACTTCTTTAGCTATTCCACCCACTGGCTGGGGAGGTGAGTTGATAGCCTTGACGCTACCTTTACCTTTCCCTACAACTAGTCCAAGGCGCTCCACCTGAGTCGAGGCTAAGTAGTTGTGGGTAGCACCCGTGTCTATCATAGCCCGAATGGGCTTGCCATTCACCTTCATCTCGACGAACATTAAGGTCCTCTCTTGTTTAAGAGGAGTCTCTTCATTCGCCTTCTTTTTCCCTTTCCTGGTGACGGGACATGAGTCCTTCTTCTTACGAATACCAGCACTGGTCTCCGCTAGTGCCTCAGAAATGGAACCCACAATTGCATTGAAGGCACCTACTGGTTCAGTCTGGTCCGCATCGTCTGAGTCGTCATCAGTCCCATCATCAATAGCCTGATGGGCATTCATCTGTGCATGTGGGCACTCATTGTTCCAATGTGGACCGCCGCAATGACGGCATCCTGAAGGAGGCTTTCTCGCCCGATCATTGTTGTTTGACGCAGCACTGTTGCTGCCGGAGGAAGGAGCTCTAGATTTGTTTGAGTTCCGATCTCCCCCATTTTTGCTAGGACCACCACTGCTGGGCTGGCCCCCTTTGAACCCTGCTCGGGCAGGCGGCTGAGGCCTGTCCCTTCGAGCTTCCATTTGATAGTCCCCAAGGCATTCAGCTGCTTGGATTGCCTTGGGAAGGGAATCTACCCTTTGTCTCTGTAGCTCCACGCGGGCATAAGGTTTCAACCCTTCCATGAAGGTGAAGAGTTTGTCCTTATCCCCCATGTCGCGTATGCTGAGCATGAGTGCGGAGAATTCTCGCACGTAGTCCCGCACTGATTTTGTCTGGCGGAGCTCCCGTAGTTTTCTCCTTGCATTATATTCAACATTCTCGGGGAAGAACTGCAGGCGTATAGCTGCCTTCAGTTCGGCCCATGTCTCGAGAGCATCTTCACCGGCCTTGATGGCTTCGTACTTCACACGCCACCAGAGTTTAGCATCACCCTGAAGATACATGGCAGCAGTTGCTACCTTCTTAGCTTCCTCCAGATCCCCAACAGCATCGAAATACTGTTCGACGTCAAAGATGAAGTTTTCCACTTCCTTGGCATTCCTAGCTCCACTGTATGGCTTTGGCTCAGGAATTTTCAGCTTCTTTGTCGCGGAAGCGGAGTTCACAGCACCTCCGATTTGGTTTCCACCTCCTCGGAGTAGGCCCTGTAAAGCAGAGTTGACAACATTGAGTTGGTCTGTCAATTTGTCAATGGTTTGTTGCATGGCAGTCACCTTTTCTGCCTCTTGTGCCCTGTGGGCTAAATCCTCGGTGCGCTCCTGTTGGAGCCCCTCGAATTTCTCAAAGATTTCGGCTGCCTCTGTGGCTGCCGTCTGCCGGTCTCCCTCGGAGTCGCGACTGATGTTTTCAACGTCAACTTCGACCCGAAGCACTCTGCGGTCCAGGTCGTCCAACCTTTGCAGTAGGCTGGTTCTTAGTTCAGGCACCGTATCCATAATAGGCCGCCATACCTCAACCGTCCCTTCGAGGGCCGCAATGCGGTCCCCATGATTCACCATGGTCAGAAATGGTGGTATGTCAATACGTTCCCTCGTCCGATGTCGAGCCTGGGCTCTGATACCAACTGATACGCGGCGCCTTCCTGAGATTCCTTGGAAGGGCAACGTACGGCTAGGCAACTGATGTCAGTTCAGTTGCTGTCCGCCAACTGAGGTCCCCTCCATACGCTAGACGAGATTGTCAGTGCCGTACGGGAAAACCAATGTCAAGAGCAATTGAGAGAACAGAAATGAGAATTCAGAATGAAAGAAAGCTTGATTGCATTAATGAAAGCTATTACAGAAAAGCAACGCGGTGTCGAGGGGGAGAGACACCAGTACAGAGAATTGCTTGCTTGCTAGAAAGTTTTGATTGCTTGATCCCCCCTAATAGTACTTAAAAAAAATAAACCAAAGTTACAGGAGTAGACCTAATTAAGCTAGAGAAACATAATGGAAGTGCATGAAATAAACTACTCTATATTTACAATGAAAATGACATAGTTTTCTATAAGGCAGCAGCAGGTCCGTTGTCAGCAGCAGTGTCTTTGGCATCACGGTCTGCGCGCGCGGCGCTGTTGGCTTCTGCCTGCGGCATGGCGCTCGCGAGGGATATCGGTGGGGCGACAGAGGCACCTGCGCGCTTGTCACTTGGCGCGGCCAAGACCACGGGGCCGTCCGTGGCGCTAGGCATTGGGAGGTTCGCTAGGACGCCACGGGGCGCGCCCAAGGGGTCATGGGGCATGGCTGGAAAGCCGCCCATGACAAGAATCATGTTCGAAAGTAATCACACTAATTTTTGCAATCACACTATGTAAATTAACTTTCAGCGCAGGAACTACGTCAAGAATCAAGCTTGAAAATAGTCACAAAAATATTTATAATCGCACTATGCAAATTGACTCTCAAAAATGACACTACCAAATATCTTAAGACAATGCATTCTTATTCTAAGCATGAAAGGAAATAACAAAATCAATTAGGAAACGAAATAAGAAAAACAAGAAAACGGAAAGTTTCCTACATTTTTACAAAGGAAAAATTAATAAAAAGTAGAAACCTGCCGATCAATCATTTTAACCTTAGTTAACAAAAAAATTAGAATAAAAATACATATTACTTAATCATGGTTAAGTGACAAATTTGTATATGAAAGACATATGGTTGATATACATTGGTTGGGTATAAACAACGGGATGCGAGTAAATTTTTACCAATTAATGTTGTCCTTGCGGAGTACTCAATTATTTTGAAGGACTAAGAGCCCGTTTGGATGAGCTTATTTTAAGTGACTTTTAAGCCAAAACAGCTTTTAAGCCATAAGTTAGGAATTATAGCTTTTGGCTTTTGACTTGTTTTTGTTATTTTAGCTTAAAAATAAGTGCTTAAAAGTAATTTTTTTACTTTACCCAAACACTACAAAATGACTTAAAAGCACTTAAAATAAGCCAATCCAAACGGGCTCTAAAATGCTCAACTAGTACATATTAAAGATGATTTTAGACTAATTCCCAAAAATTAGGGACCATTTTGTCATTTCCTCTTGTTTTTCTTACATAGATCACTTCTTTCCTCGAGCTTGATCTATCTCTGTGTGGCTCAACCAGACTTAACTGTATCTGAGGTAAGACTTTATTTTATATTTGTATCTGTTTATTTAATTTGTACATCTCTCGTCCCCTCAATTAGCACAAAATTCATTTCAATTTCAGTTAATTGACTCAATAAGTGGAATGTAAAATGCTGATTCTTGGTTTTTAAGTTTGATTTTATTTGGATATAAAGGTAGAATCTTGAATTTTGATTACAAAAAAAAAAAAGTTGGTTCTTTTCTTTTTTATTTTAGGAATGAGAAATGTTAATTCTAGGTTTAAATGAATGTGTTGTAGAGATAAAGGTCGAGTCTTGAAAGTTTGAGGAAAAGGTTAAATGATAGTCCATTTGAATTAGTGACTTCGAATTGTTGAGAATTGTGGTGAAATCTGAATTTCAAGGCAACAAGATTTTGAGGTCAACTTATGATCTGCCAATTTCTCATTGCTTTATATAACCCCAATATATATTTCTATTGATTCTCTGCTAGCCATTTGCTTGTAATGCCATCTAGTTATTTGCTTGTAATGCCATCCTTTTGGTTGAATTGATGTTATTATTCTGTAAACATCTGGTTGAGGAAATGATCTCCTATGATCAGTTACAATTTGATAGGTTTATCCCTCGTGGTGGATTTGGTTCTTACTTCTTACTATAGGTCACGGGTTCGAGCCGTGGAATCAGCCACTTATGTTTGCATCAGGGTAGACTGCCTACATCACACCCCTTGGGGTGCGGCCCTTCCTCGGACCCCGGATGAATTCGGGATGCTTCATGCACCGGGCTACCCTTTTTTGGGTAAGAAGGACATCATAGTCTCAATAGGGAGCAGAAGTTAAGGCGGAAATCAGTTGGATCATGGTTGAATTGAGTTTAGTTTGACTAAGATATTGCTTTTATGCTCTTGTAGTAGTCTGGAACTGTAATTGAATCATTGGCTGTTGGAATTGAATCCTACACATAAGAGCATTCCGAATGCTAAAAAGTTTTTGTTCATTTTATGTCGTCCTTCCAGTTCCTGATGAATTGAGTCCCCCACAGTAACGATCATAGTGATCTCCTCTGGTACCTACTGGTATGTCGGGATCCAATTGGTCATGAACATCGTAAGGTGCTGCTTTTTGCTTTTGTTCTCTATTTTGTATTCCGTTTGCCCTCCCATCCTTGTGCCCTTCCACATGGGACTCCCGGATCACTATGGCCAACTTTCGTCTCTGTTCGACTAGTAAGGGAAAAGCTCTTTACTAAACTAAGAAAATAGAATAGATAGGCTTTTTTCGCTTGTTCGTCAAGCTTTCGAGCAGCTATTTTTTGTGTTTTACAAACTTAAATTCTTTTTGTTGGTGAGAAAGAATTTGATGATCCTGTGTTTAAGTATATTTCTCTACAATGTGGGACTCATTATCTGTCAGAGTTCTGAAATACATCTGTTAAAAATGTGCAGGACAATTCCAATTTTTTCTTGATTCGTTAGAGGCTAAAAGATTTCGGATCTGAAGAATCTAGTCACAATGACAATAGAGAATTCCGAGCTCACCACGGAGCAGGTAACCTCTCACTTGCGTAAGAATCGGCTTGAATTTAGTATTATGCACTAATGATTAGACTGTGATCTCCACCGTTATCATAATGAGCATGTACAAGAGATCTAGGTCTGTGGCTGTTAGTTGCTTTCTTTTTCTTTCATTGACTTTCTTCTTCTACAAACGCTATAATAGCTTGTCTGTGTAAATAAAAGAACCTAGAAAGAAATCCATGCAGTAAGTGATTGGTTAAGATACGAGGTTGTTTTTAAAGTTTAATTACTAGTTGCTTTGGTAGTCGTACATTATTTGACATAGAAAAGTTCTCTATTCTTGGGATTTTATGTGAACTGTCCTTCACGATTATCTTTCTTCTTGGTGACAATAACAATATGGCATCTTTTTTTATAATGTACTTTCTTCTCCATCTGTTAACTACATGCTCCTATAAAAAAGCTAAGAATTGAAAGCATTTTTTGTCTTTTTTCCTTG